CGGTATCTAAAGGGTCCTAATAGCTGCTCTACCACGAACTGGGTCTTTCCGCAGCCGGTGGGTCCTACTATCAGAGCGTTACAAGGCATGTGATTTGGGTTCATTATATTTCAGCAAACGAAGTTTGCTTCTCGAAGGGAACTTGTTCCCTGATATATAATGGAGCCCGTGGACGCAGTCAGAGCGATGGTTAACAAACTCGAAGATAAGTCCAACACGATAGAGATGCAAAGGGAGGAAATAGACCGGCTGAATGGACACGTAAAGGAGCTATATGAGGAAATGTATAGTCTGAAGCAAGGGGAGCGCTTTAGCGCGCTGGTGACGATGGCAATGTGGGCTAAGGACACCGTAAAGGATTTCATGGCGTATCCCATATAAGGATTATTAAATTCTTATTATATAGATGGGGTGCAAACATTGTGGTAAGGAGTTCAGCAGTAAGCAGATGTTAAAATATCACGTGTCAAAGAATGTTTGTAAGAAGTCACAAAGTAGGCGTTGTGAACACTGTAGCAGGTTGTTCAGCAGTAAGCAGATGTTAGCGTACCACGTAGAGAACAAAGTGTGTCTAAAGAATGTATGTAAGCGCTGCGAAGAAGACAAGGACGACGATTGGCATATGCTGCGCTGCCTGACGAACTATGATTTGAGCGGCGTAGCGTGTGAATTGCACGGCGACGTTGCCTCGCGCTGTTGCCCTAAGAAAACAACGACGGCGTTGATACGTCGAAAGAAGGAAATAGACATGCGCTTCGCATTCTTTGACCGCGTTGAAGGTGTGCGCTGGGAAGACAGAGAATATTGGGAGGCGGACTGTCCGCGCTGCGGATGTCGAAGGGATGAACAGCATGTGTGGCAGTGTTTATATGTGCACGCGGACGCACCAAGAACGTTCAAAGAATTCGCTGATGGCCTTGAAAGAAGGCGCATTAGAAATGAGGAGCAGCGCTCTGAATAAGGATCGAAAAAGTATCAGGGGGGTCTGGAGGACCTCTCATCGAGTTACGGAAAGTGTTTCACGAAATCCTTTATTATTTATTAGATATTTATTAACTCCTTAATAGATAATAAAGACGCAATAAATAATAAAGGATTTCCTTAAAGGGTTTCCGAAATCGCCTTGTACCTATGTATCAGACCCCCCTGATACATGGTCATATTCTTATTAGGGGCAAATTTAAAGGGCGATGATCACCCTTTAAGGGTACCCTGATACATACATCGACTTACGAAAAGTGTTTGACGAAATCCTTTATTATTTATTAACTCTTTATTAGGGCTAATAAATACGCAATAAATAATAAGCATATTCTTAAAATAGTTTCCGGGCGCATTTAATAAGGATCTAATAAATAATAAGGACTTCCTTAAAATAGTTTCCGATTTCCCTTTGCAGCCCCTGATACTTTGCCTTATTATATGCTAGCCTACGCAGCAGCGTTCCTAGGAGGATTCCTAATAACCCTTTCAATATATGGACTGTATTACATGCGAACCCCCTGCTGACTGCGTTAAAAAAGAGTCGCCGACCCTCATTGTCGACGACTCTACCTTAGACGCACTTACCCGCATAGGACCGAAGGAAGGATGCACTTTGCAACGTCAAAGGCCCAGCGACCATCCTTCTTCCCATACGACCTCAGATGCGTGAACTCCTGTCCTTCGATGACGCATCGGACGCGATCTGGCGCCCACAGGCTGTACGTGACACCCTCGTGCGCCAATAACAACCGTAGCCTGTCTTCAAAGGCTACGTAGTTTTTTATTTCGTA